ATGTTTGATTAAACATTATTCCGTGTGTTATATTGTTATTACTAAAGTACTAATTTAATAATATGGGGCAAGAGTATTCTCAAAATTGGGATTATAGCATTCTTAAACATGAAATGTGATCTCAAAAGAAAAAAAAATGATTTTTCTGGACATTTATTTTCTTTCTTTTGGCAGCAAACCATATATGATAATTTATTGCTACTTTTTTCATAAATAATAATAAATGTCTTAAATCTTTTAATAAATTGATTTGATTTTAGTCTACTTATTTCACATGCATTATAAATGCTCAGGACTTTAAAAGTCTAATCATCCAACATTCTTAAGTATAATTATCTACTTGCGAATATGTGATTGCGGTGAGTTTTTTGTTTGTTCGTTATGTTTAAAGTTGTATATTAATTACGTAAATGTTAGATATGTGAAGAGAATGAATCTTTATTGTTATGCAATTTTTATTTTTATTTTTGACGACAACGAAAATTTGCAATCGCAACTACAATCACTATCGTGTGCACATGGTAAAACCCTCACTACTATGCAATAGCTCGCAAACCATATAGGACAGTTAACCCACACTAGGCAAACCTGGTGCAACGAACTTGACTCAAAAGGCGAATCTCTTACATTAGCTGACAATGAATTTTGAATACAAACATATAATTTTAAAATATCAGTGAAACATAACATAAGATTCATATACAAATATCTTTTGATAGTAATAAGTAATTTGTTAAACTCGAATATTCATTTGAAATAATTATTTTATTATTATAATTATCATCAACACGTCATAAATCAAAAAAGCCAAACCAACCCATCTTTTCTATTTTGTTTGATTTTAAAATTTTGAAAATCGATTAAACTAAATTGTTTAGAATTATATCTAAAACATACATAAAACACGAGTAATTAATTAAGTGGTGAGATGAACATTCACAAGCAAAAAGGATCAAAAGTGTATCATTTCAATTAATCGAAGTTAAATATGCTTAGGAAAATATTACAGGGACTAAAATTAACATATACCAATAAATGAAGGACTAGAAGTAATATTAACCAAATGAGGTGGTTACAAAGGCAGTTCAAAGAGCCGACTTTGTGATGTTACAATTATACCCCTGATGCCTATGATAAGTACGACGTCGTAATTAAGAAATATACCTAAAATATAAAGAGGACATGGAAGTTATTTATGATAAAAAATTTAATAAAATCGTAATTTACACGAACAACTTTTTCAGTTAAAAAAAGGCACTGTTGTCTATACAAACTGAAAAAGACCTGATAACAATAAGCAGAGAAGATGAATGAAAAGGCGGAGCAAAACGGTTACGCCGCCGCCGGCGAAGGCCATGGCGGCGACGGAGGATGTAGTTTGGTTGATGCCGGTGATGCGATGTTGAACGGAGGAAGAGGAAGTAGAGTTAGTAGTGGAAGAGTGAAAGAGCCTTGGTCGCCGGAGGAAGATGCAGTACTGACTGAACTTGTTAATAAGTTCGGTGCAAGGAATTGGAGTATGATAGCTCAAGGGATCGCAGGTCGTTCTGGGAAATCGTGCCGACTTCGGTGGTGTAATCAGCTTGATCCGGTGCTTAAACGCAAGCCTTTTACTGGTAAAACCTTCGGCCTTTTTTTTTTTGGTTTAGCTTTCTGTTGAGTTTGTTAGTTTTGTGTAGATACGTAATATGCTGTTATTTTATCCTTCTTTTTTTGAAGTGCTTTTGGATTTTTGAATTTATTGTTCGATGGCTTTTTATTAGGGCACATTTCTTGCTAGAAAGGGGATGGCATTGGTATATTTTTGTGTTTTCTTAACTATGTTGCTTAGAGTCTCCGAAAATGTTGTTGTACTTGTGTTGAATCCTCCAAAAATGCTTACTTTTTGAAAGATGTTCAATCAATATAAGTTTTCTATTTCACATGTCCTACGCCCTCTCTTTACAAACATACACACCTGAGAGAGAGAGAGAAAAACACGTGTGCCGACTGTGGGATATCTCCTTGGCTGATAGCCCCTCTGGTAGCTTACGCTTTAGAATTTCGAGATTTAGTGCCTCCTTAGTATAGGACTAGTACTCTAAAGTATGATATTCTTACTGTGGTTTATTGATGCATGCTTGTGTCCTCAGCAAATGTTACCCAAATTTACTAACAAGTAATATAGTCTTGTGTTCTAGTCATGAGAGATGTTCACCACCAAATTTGTTAGAATCCCCTGTATAAAGATCATTGAATGGTAATTATAAATGAAATAAAATCTTGGTGAATGGTACACGAGGTCTAACTATGTGCAATTTAGGTTTCTTTGCCACCCAGCGAATATATTGTTTAGATTGGCCTATAATTGCTTTGTTGCTTGTGTCTATGCCCGAGAGACAATAAGACTTCAATCTCCAAGTTTAACTCAAAGCTAGCACCCTTCACTCCCACCTTTAAGAGCTATTGCTTCATGTTAATTTGCCTTGCTAATGCTTGCAAATGATCACATTTTCTTTTCTTGATGAGGAAGAAATGGTGCTAGCTGGGAGATTACTTCTTTACCTAAATGTTGTCAGAAGTAATTGCTTACTCTGTCTCTCTCTTTCTACATGATGAACTTGCAATTTGGAAACATGAAATGCACTTGTCTCTAGTCGCACTTAACTTTAGCCATCAACTTTAGTGGAGTTTACAGTTCACCTTGTGTCACTTTGGTGTTACCATTTACTGAAGGTTAATGGAAACGTGATTTCTACCTAGTCTGCCACAGTCAATGTTAGAGATAGTCTTCTTTGTTAATAATATTCGAAAGCATCTAAAAATGTCCTTTTGGTGAGTTGTTCTTTGCATGGTAGTTCTTGCTATTTCCTGTTGCCAATTCTCTGTGCATGGAGGGAACTACTACATTGTTGAACATCAGGAAGATACTAGGATGGTCTAGTTGCTATTTAAGTGGCCAGATGATGACATGGGTGATGCTTAAAATGACTAGTTTTATGATGCTCATTCACGTACTGCAACCCTCTTTCTTTATCAAGATTTAGGGCCGGCAAATGAGCAAGCTCCCACTGGCGGAGTTACGTGATGCTGCATGAATGGGTCAATTTGACGAGTGCTTGGTGATAGCAAAGAGTACAAACGGATATATCTAGGCATAATTGTATTACTTTTCATCGATGTCTATCGATTATTTTATTAACCGAAGCTGCTCTTGTAGTTTGTTTTACTTTTGGTCTTGCTATGCTTAATGAAGTTTAGAACAAACATTAAACTTTGATTTGATGCATAAACTTTACACCGAAGTATGAATATTGTGATGTTTCTTTTCAGCATCACATCACAGTTCTGTCCAACTGAGCAAGTGCATTTTCCTTAAAAGGCGGTAGATTAACAGTTAAGATAATGCTTACGAGTTTTTCTTTCTGTGAATTTGTTTAATAGTCAAATTATCTTGGTTTAGGGAATTCTATTCATGTGTAGTTTAATTTAGTTGAAGCAAGTGTAATCATTTGCCTTGAGAATCTCCTGGATCCATGTTATTCTCATGAGTCATGACCATATTCTTCCCTGAAGCCTAATCAAAGCTTACTTTGCTGCAGATGAAGAAGACCACATTATAATTAATGCGCATGGCGTCCATGGAAATAAATGGGCCGCAATTGCAAAATTGCTCCCTGGTAGAACAGACAATGCAATTAAGAACCACTGGAACTCTACACTAAGGCGTCGATTTGCAGGGGTATGGAGGGTTAAACCAATACGCAGCATGATGTTAGATGATAGTAGCATTTACAAAGCCAGGGCATTATCTGAAGAAACTATGTCATGTGAAGGTGTTAACCAAACTAAGCCCCTGGAAATGCTGGAAGTTAGTCGTACAGAGTGCATTCCCAGCCAGTCTGAAAACAAAGCTCAAATATATGAGATGTGTTGCATTCCCGAGGAAACTCCACACTTCACTTCTGAAAGAAGTCGTCCTACATCTATAGGAAACAGCGATCCACCTGCTCTTCATCCAACTCAGAAAATTGGCGCATTTAATGTTTATAACCCTTCTGTAACTTCAAGAATAGTGCCAATGCAGGGGCCTCTGATCCACACATTCTCACCAGACTTTGATATATGCAAACTTCTTGAAGGTGTATCTGGTGAAACCATAGTTCCTCAGGGTTGCGGGCATGGTTGCTGTGCAGCTACGTCCAAGAGCTCCTCCAAAAGTTCATTGTTGGGTCCCGAGTTTGTTGATTACGAGGAACATCCTCCCCTCCTCAGCCATGAGTTAGCTTCTATGGCCACAGATTTAAACAACATTGCTTGGATCAAAAGTGGACTAGAAAAAGCTGGCAAATTATCCAGCCTAGCCACTAGCCAAAGAAATTCACAACGTAGCTCTGCTCAAGTTGGTTTTGGATAACAGAACACGAAATTAGATAACTCTTTTTGAAAGGACCAAGCCGGTCAATTAGGATGATGAATCGATGTATCTTCAAGACTTCAACTCCAATGTCTCTGCTAAATATTGGATTGCCAGCTGAAGTGGAAGCTCGAGGTGAAACTTATAGGGTTTTTCTGTTTCTTCTTTTTCGCGGTATATTTATGACATATAAGATATAAGTACACTAAACTTGGGGATGAAAAAAAAAAGAAGCATTTTGTGCTTGAAAATTGCAGAGTGGAAAGGTGCTCATTTTGTAAGTTGTTGTATGGCTTGCAATGAAATGGTCCTGGTGACACTTTTTGGCCTATGTTTATTTTAAATTTCCATCAACTCTATTTCCATTAATGGATTGGGTGTTTTCGAGCCATGAGTGGTCTATTGGAAATGACCTCTCTCTACTCCAAACAAACTGGATGTTAGATTTGGTTACATCCCACTTGGAAGTCATTTTTCTCCAAGTTATTACACTTCAAAATTTGAATCTTATTATCGTTTCAATTTGAGTCTTATTCTCATTTAAAAAGAGTTCCAACGAGCCCCTTTATCTTACCTAACTCCGCCTATGATAAGTTTGAGATTATAAGTTTCGAATTTATATTTTTAAGCGCCTTATATTTTAAGCGCCAAAAGGGTGTAGATCTCAAATTCCAAAATATTAGAGAGACCAAAGTGCAATTTGTCTAAAGTCCGAACAAAGTACTGTGCAACTTCTTCATCTATGGAAGAAGACGATAATCTCCCGGCGGCGGATTCCGCTCTCCAACGGAAGCATGCGGCGATGATCGAGCGCCTTTCGAACTCACACCAATCCCGTTTGGCTCGCAAACCTAATTCGGAATCGAACTCTACGTTCATCTCCACAAGTTCCTTTCTTTCTCGTTTCTCCGAATCCAAAAACTCCATTGAATCCACACTCTCTCGCATCCGTCAAACGCCTGATCCGCATACCAATCCGACTCTTAAATCCGAACTCGACAACGTCTCAATATCCATCGCAGATCTCGAAAAACTCGTCGCTGAAAACTCCTTTTCCCTACCATCCTACGAAGTCCGTACATGCCTCAAAACTATAACCGATCTAAAACAATTAGTCGAACATGTTACGAGCGAAGTAATCCCAAGGAAGAAATTCTCTTTCAAAAACAAATCAACGAAGAAAATCACAACGCAGAACGACACCGTATCAGAAGTTCCAAATGTGGAATCAAAGGATTCAGTGTTAAGGGTTTTGGATTCACCAGGGTTTAGGGGCAAAGAAAATGAGGTATTAGTTAAGGAATTCGGTAGGGGTAATGATGAAGAGATTAGGGAATTTGTTTTATCAGAATTAAAGGGTTGTGATGTGAGATTAATGGGGAGTGTGAGGGCATTGTTTGTGCATAAACTGATTGATTGTAAGGTATACGTTGGACCTGTTTTTGGGTCTGTGTTGATTGAAGAAGTGACAAACTGTGTGTTCGTTATGGCATCACATCAGATTCGGATTCATCAAGCTAAAAGATGTGATTTTTATCTTCGAGTGAGGAGTAGACCGATAATCGAGGATAGTGATGGTGTAAGGTTTGCACCGTATTGCTTAAAGTATGAAGGGATTGAGAAGGATCTTGAGGAAGCTAATCTTGGTGAGGAGACTGGGAATTGGTCGAATGTAGATGATTTTAAGTGGTTAAGAGCTGTGCAGTCTCCAAATTGGTCAATTTTGCCGGAAAATGAGCGCGTTGGCACAGTTGATATTTCAAGTTGAGAACCAAAAATTTGAATCTTTTGTCGCGAGGAACGGTTAGTATGTTAATCCTCTTTGTTTAAAGGAGATCACTTTTGTTTGGTTATTATCTTCTTTTATGTACTTGAATTTGTTGATTAAATGCATACTGATTATTATTCTATTTTAAGAGGTGAACTAAATACAACGGAATAGGAATATTGTGATAAAGGCCTAGTCGTCGTTGTTGTTATTATGATTCTGTTTTGTTGTCTATGAATTAATATGAAATACCTTTTTGTATCAATCAACTTAGACACAACTAGTTGGTGTCAGCTATATGAATCCATAATATCTGTATGTATTTGTTGCTGGTTCCATCATATCAATGTCCTACGCATAGCTCCGTTTAAGTCAATCAACTTCTATTCTTATGAAAAATAACGGTACCATCTTCGTAACTGATAATGAGGAGGCAACTAATCGCAAAAGATTTGTTGCTGGTGCTGCCACAGGAAGTGTAGCCTTTGTACTCTGCATGTCTATGGAACTGTGTGTGATATTTTAACATTTTTCTGTATTTTTGCTTCTTGAGTTCTTTTTGAAAAGCATAACAAGTCGAACTCTGTTGTGTTATTTGTATCGGTATCTGTACTACTAAATTGAAGGAGAGAAGTTAAAGTTGCTATGCAAGCTGGTTCTAGACACGGAACTTATCCTTCTTGTCGTGTTATATGGTGTGTTCTACGGTGAAATAGCTCTTTGACTGCCTAGATTGTGTGCTTGAAAAATAATGCAAGTTGATACTGGTTTTTAAAGATTTACTTTACCCATTGACATTTTCAGACTGCTTAGCTTGACAGCTTATTTTCTTTAAGTGGCACCTACTGCTTAATCATACAAAAGTTTCTCGATTTTCCTATATCATCATGCTGATTGCTTTGACTCTATGTCACTGATTTGAATGGACTCAGCAGAACTAACAAAGTTAAGAGAATATGGTCTGGGGGCTTGATAAATCTTTAAAAAGCCGCTAGCATAGTTGCTGGGCACTGTCTAATGAAGAAGCTGTGGGAATTGCTATTGATGATTCAGTTTATCTGTAATGAGTAACGACTTCAGCTAAATTTGATCACTTTAAGTATTTCGATGAGTTGGGTAATAGAGCTCTGCTCTTTATATATTCGTGAGTCCTGTAGTATGCTAAATACTAGTCTTGGCTCTCTTCTTGATGGCTATATTCAAAGAACTATCTCAAGTTCTAACCATTCAACGATGATCCTATCGCGTTTTTCTTGAACATGTCAATATTCCTTATTAGGACTGGAATGTAGCATCGTTGGGAGGCTCACTTGGTGCTTTCAGTGACATGATTCACGCTGAGGGACCTTCTTCTCTCTTTACAAGGGCCTAGTTCCCTCCATCAGAGGCATGGCACCTTCAGGCACAGTTGCTATGTAGGGTAGGTAATGGCTAGCGATGGTGGTTGTAGATGTCGGTCAGGATAATGTTGGCTAATGGTGAGGTGTGTTAGTAGCTCGTGGTGATGGTGATGGTGATGGTGATTGAGAGTAGAGGTTGATGCTAGTAGTTTGGTGATGACGGTTGATAGTTGTGAAAGATGATGGTAATAGCTAACAATGGTCGTGATATAACATGGTGACTAAAGAGGGTGATTCATGGGTTATTGTGGTAGCTTGTGATAACGATCGTAAATGGTGGTTAGTGTTGGTGGAAAAACAATTATGATAGTTAAAATTGAATTATTAAATGTAAATAAATGAGGCCTCGAAAGAAAATACCTGTTCAGTTCATTCAGCAAGTAATTAATGGACTGTAACATGCATGTTCATCTAAGTCCTATAGAATTTAATATTTAGTGGACACAACTCTAATAGGCCTGTTACAACTTTAGCTGAACTTGAAGTTTATAAATATATTGGACCACAATTCATCAACAAAATATTTTGTGTAGGTAAAAGTAAGGAAAAATACAGAAAATGGCAAACTACATTTTATATCAAAATAATATAGATTTATTTATATTTTATGGATATATATAATTAATAAATAGCAAATAACATCATTTTCTGAAACAATAACTTTGTATGCCTAAGATAATATATTCCCTTTTAAAATGTATAAAAAGTATTAAAACGAAGAAATAAAATTATATTGTATTTATGTATCTAAAATACATGCTCCATCTAAAGTGTTGGCTGATACGAATGCACTAATATATGGTGATTTGAGGTGTCTAACGTCTACAACAATCGGCCTATAATGATCAAATCCCTTCATAAGAGCATTCAGCGTAGTAAACACATACAAAAATTCGTTCTCGGGTGTTTTCTTCATTCGAATATGTGAACAAGGGTACGTCTTATCCAAGGTATATGAGTATCCAGGCAGCTTTCCATAAGACGTAGTTGGTTACTTCATTATCGATTCTAATGCCTTTTCTTTTGCTCGTCATGCCAATATGTAGTCAATATCAATATCTAAGTTCAATCTAACGTCATTCATGATATCAATTGGAGTGTACTTTCTCTTGTGATTCCTCAATTTAGGTGCGACTATTCCTCCAATCAATCTACTTGTTGCACGACATTCTGAATTTACTCCATCCTTTAAAGGACGTGTATGTTCAAAATTAAAAACTCTAATTCTAAACATCTTCGACTTGTTTATCAATCATGTGCATTCTTAAGAAGTTCACCAAAAGGACACAATCTCGTCTCAATTTAAACAAATTAGATAAGTCATGAAAATCATCAATATTCGTAAATAAATCTAAAAAAAAAATTAAAATATATGTAAATCTTATCCTAAGGAGAGAACCTTTCAAAAGTCACATGTACAAAATTAATAAGTTGTTCACCAAAAGGACACAATTAATTAAATTAGTGCAAAAGGAGACATGATAGTCCCACCACACCATCCTATTGTCAAGTTGAAAAGTTCATAGGAGTTGCTTTTAATCAATTTTGAGATGAAAAATACATTGTTGGGCCATTGAATTAATGTCTCACCAAAAAAATAGCTAATTAAAGACATTCTCACAACACTTACCTCAAATTTCATTGAAGTTGTTGGCACAACAAAAGATAAATCGTGGAACTAGCAATACCACTAGATTTGGTTTGTTTAATTTTGTACATTTTGAACAACAAAAAAAATACAACTAATCTATACATAAACACGTCTTCTTTAAATCGACATCAACTAATATCTGTGATCTTTAATTTTACTTATATGAAATTGAATAATAAACATATTCGGTCCTTCCAGTGTTTTTTTAGTTCTTGCATTAGAAAGTATATTATATTTAAACTGATTCATAAATTATTGGTAATTAGGTAGCAAAACATACTAATCATAATTAGGTAAAAAAAGCATAAATGGATACTTAAACTTACTCAAAAAAATCTTTAATGTATTATTTTTGAGTCAGACTGACACCGATGATGATGGTGAAATCTTTTAATTTACTCTTTTCATACAAGTTTATATATACTTATTATTAAATTTTGACTTTAGAATAAATTTTATGTAATAAAGTAAAATATAAATAATCATCGATGTATAATAATTCCAAACACCTGTGAAATGAGATATCTCATTAGCAGGGGCCTCTATCCAGCGAAGCCTGCAATGTTGTTCTTTGATGTTTCTTCAGTGGACAAATTAATTTAGCAGTACGGGGGGCGGAGTTAAAAGTTCAGATACGATTTGATTCGATTGATTTAATAGTTTTTATAAATTTATAATTTAATTATATATTTTTGAAATGATAGATTTGAAATTTAGAACTTATAAAATTGAAATTTTGATTTGATATTTGATAGACTGAAAAAAATTTAAAACTTTAGAATTCAGATATATGCTGATTCAATTGAATAAGTAGTTTTGCTTAGTAAATCTACAAAAAAATTTATAAATTATTTAATTTATAATTTAGTTATAATTATTTGAAGTTGTTAGTTTGAAATTTAAAAATTTTTAAGTTAAAGTTCTTATTTGACGTTTGAAAATAACTCAAAGAACAATTTATATCTAGTCAGATCAATTTTTTTAATATTAGTTTATCAAGAATTGAAAAGAAAAAAAAACAATTCTGATATTTCTAATTACTACTAGTCTTTGCAATATCTAATTTTAAGATATTAAATTTTCCACATAATTTATCTTAAAAGTTTTCTACCCCACCCTTCATATCTTAGTCAAAAAAATTTGAATTTTGAATTTTTAATTGATACAAAAAAATGAAATATTATTAAATAAATATTAAATTTAACTTAACTTCAAAACTAGTCTAAGAAAAAGGATTTCTCATAATCATATACGGAAGTTCACGATCGAAATCTCTTCTAGTATCAATACAAAACTCTTTTCTATTCATTAACTTTTACGCGTTTAAATCTATCCGATTCTCAAGATATGCATGCTTAGCTAGACATCGTCCTATCACTACAGGGTGTGGACAACCAATCTAAAGAACCACATCGAAAGGTCTAACACTAATATATATCATATTAAATAAAACGTAAATTAAACTCAATCACCAAAGCTAACTTACGAAAGAAAAGGAAGGATGAAGAAGTGGGATTTGTCAAAATCATATAAGAAAGTGTTGTAGGACCAGATTCTTTTTATTTTTAAAAAAGCCTTCTTAGAAGGAGCCTTTCACGTATCGCGGGTCTATCTAATATGATTTTGAATTAATTTTGTTATAAACTTCAAATAGTAAATAATTAATGAAAAAAAAAGAAAAAAATATTTAAAAATATAATCCGCACTTTACTAATGTATGCACACCTTATATATCAAATATACACCATTGACGATTAAAAATTATTACGTAAATTCGTGAAATATTTTTAACACGACTGATTAAAAAAATTAAAATTCGAAAAAAAAATGTCAAATTACCCTTTTTCTGGTCAGTAACAAACCAAATAACAACATAGATGGCAGAAAAGTAGTCATAAAAGGGAACAATTACAAAATCTAGTCAAATAAAATTCCAATTAATATTGATATAAATGTCCCTCATATATGGCCCAATATTATGTACACTTTTTACATCTTTTGTTTGCAACTTATAATTTTTTTAATTATTTAAAAATTTTATTTTCTATCTGCTCACTAGAAGGGGGACCAAAAAAAGTACTACAAAAATTAAATAAAATTAAATAGTAGAAAGGGTTTTTAGTATTTTCTAATTTTCTAACTTTTGCTTTTATATCAATAAATCTTTTTTATGATCTGTCATTGAAAGAGATGCATTACAGCTGTGGCATAGTTGTAGGTATCAACGGGTACGTTATACATGACATTTATGTTATCGTTAAAAATATATCGTCGAAATATTATGATGAAGTGGTAAGTAATATAACGTGAAGTATATATATGAATAGTTTCAAAAATATAACTAGAATCATCCTTTTTCGAATCTACCTCACATTAATAGCTTGAATACCTAATCTCTTCTAATCAATAGATTATACAAAAGCAAAGTCAATAGGTGATAATGACATCGATCTTCTCGTTTGATTATGCTTAATGAGGTTGAGTGTTGATCTGTCAAAATTATGATATCGTAAAGATGTGAGTGGCAAAGATGAAGATATATTGAGGTGGACACATCAGGAGAGATAAGATTATAATTAAGATATTCAAAACAAGTTGAGAATGGCCTTCCGAGAGGATAATATACGGAAAATGAGACTAAGACAATTCAGACATTCGGAGAGGACATGTTCAGACGCCCCCGTCCATAATTAGGAAGTGTGAAGGTTGACCATGATTAGGCAAAATATCTCCAACTTTACCTGAATGAGGACACATCACCCTTGTTAGGAAAATGTGAAAGGTCGAAAATTAAAATCGAAGGTTGGTAGGTAGTCAGACGTATTTCGTTCCCTTTTTCAGAATATTATAGTTCAATGTATTTTAGTTACCTTTTTCAGAAATATTAGTATCATTCCTATTTTTAATTTTTTATCACTATTTGTTTTTTCGTTCACCTAGATATCTTATTATTTTGTTATTGTTATTGCTTGTTTGTTACTATGTCTTTCTCACCATTCATTTAATCGAAATTAAAATTTTTAATAACATTCTTTCTATCTTCGATAAACTTAACGTATTTTATTTTATTTAAAAAAAATTTACTTTCTTATAAAATTTTGCTAAATTTATTATTATAATATTGTATCCAAAAAGGAATTCATGACAAAGGCAAAATACTTAAATACGAATAATTACAGAAAAATCATAAGGTCCCCTTTGATTAATTACTACCATTTTCAATTCCTAAATATTTAAATCTGCAAGATCCATCCACATAATTGCTACGATACCGTAATATTAATATACTTTTATAATAGTTTTTCCATAAAAAAAATATATATTTTCCTATTTCCAAAAATATATATAACTTTTCCTCGGGTCACAATTAAAAAAAAACAAAAACTAGCCTTTCAAATTTGGTCTAAAATAAGTGAGTTTTAAAAAAAATAAAAAGGTATAAAAAAATTTCCCTAAATTTATCCTTAAATTTTATCTAACAAATTACCTCAACATATTTCTAAGTAGTCTTTCAATACTTTCTTATGAGTAAATTAATATAATTAAGTCAAATACCCACATAATTAATATTATTAAGGAATTTTTTTTAATGAGTTTGTCTAATTTTTGAAAATCGATTATTATATCATGTATATATCCAAGAAAATATCACATACTTGTATACAGTATATATCGTAAACGAAATTAATTTTTAATTATCAACATTCAGTCGAGCTATCATATAATTAAAATTCTTCTATTCTTAATTAAATCTTGAGTTTGAG